ACTGTAAGCAATAAATTTCATTTTCTTATAAATCACCCAGTTCCAGGTATTTTGTTATAAGTAACATAAACAGACTAATACACATAGTTATCTCAACAAATCGTACTTACTATAAACAATTTGAGGTACTCAGGCAACTGAAGCTTTTTTCAGACAAGACACATGGGGGTTTCCTGGGTCCCAGATCCCAGCTTGATATTCAGATGCTGTAGCTATGTGCCAGAGCATGTGGAGGTCTGTCTGACTTCCCTAGGACACAGCTGCTCAGAAAATTAATGCTTAGATTTTTAGAGTCTTCGGGCATGTTTGATAACTTGAAAAACCAATCAAAATCATTTCTAAAATAGCATTTAAAGATCCCCTTGATTAAGTGTGACCACCCTAAACTGTCTTGACACTCTTTCTTTTAAAAATTCAGACCTTGTGACAGATGAAAAATGGTTGCCAAAGGTGAAATGTGGACCCTGGCCTGAAGAGTTGAGCTGGGCAGAACTCTGAAGAGGTACTTTTTCTTTTTTTCTTTTTTTTTAAAAAGATGACCGGTAAGGGGATCTCAACCCTTGGCTTGGTGTTGTCAGCACCACGCTCAGCCAGTGAGCAAACCGGCCATCCCTATATGGGATCCGAACCCGCAACCTTGGTGTTATCAGCACCGCACTCTACCAAGTGAGCCACGGGCCGGCCCTGAAGAGGTACTTTTTCATTCCCTGAGAGCTCACTACTTGGTTTCTAGCATAGCAATCAGCCCCTTCAGTCTATACCATTCAGAACTCTTCTGGTTGTAAATGATGGAACCATAACCCAAATGAGTTTTGGCAGAGGGGGATTTATTGGCTCAAGGAATGGCCAACAAGCTATGGAAAGCTATGGAAAGGAGCATGAATCCGGGACCTGAAATCTACCCATGGCTCTCTAGATATCTTGTTTGTCTATCCCACCCTCTCATACTAGCATTTCCACAAGGTCAGAAACACGGCACACACAGCTCCTGATTCTCACATCCTCACCTTCCACAACCAGAGGACTGCCAGCCACTCGCCCTGGTCACAAGCTTAAAATCCCAGGAAAGGGCTTTCATTGGCTCAGCTGGTGTCAGGTGGCCATCCTCGGACCAATCATCAACAGTGACCAGTGGTATAGGGCAATTAGAAAATAAAGGGGCTCCCTGAGAACCTTCTGGTTGAGATGGGAGAGAAGCAATTCCCAGGAGAGAAACCAGGCAAACAGAAAAAGGTACTGTAACAGTCCTAACATGAGAAACTGCACACAGATTTCACAGTAAATCTACAAGCAGACCACATCTTTAAAAACCATGTCCAGAGAAGCACCTTGGAGACTAATTAAGTTCCCAATGAAGTGGTGACTAAAGTCTTCACTTATAGGTGAATTAGCTACATATGGCTCCTCAGTCAGAAGGCTCCTCCATCCTTACAAAAGAGCACAAGCAGAGCCCTATAAATAGACTGTTCAAAGTCTGCGTGGACCTCACCTGTTCCCAAAATTCAGTGTGCATGAGAATCAGCTGAGAGTTAGTGAAGCGTGTAACTCTCCCAGGCCTACTGCTCAGACTGGGATTCAATGGTCTAGGGCGCATTTTTATAAGGCTCCCGGGTGCTACTATGAAGGTGGTCCCTGGACCACACTGAGCAACTGCACACCAGGCCACCTGTCTATACACTAAAAAAATAAAGCACCTAGAACATTGCCTGGCACATGGTTCGTGCCGAGAAATAGCACCAGAAAAGCCATGCAACTGGTCCCAGACCCACAAGAGAACTCTGATGCTCGCTCAGACCCACGAAGTCTGCCCCTGTCCCCAGACTTCCCAGGGGAAGAGAATAAAATAGCAGCAGCATTTTCATTTTGTAAGCACTTGGTTTTATTGCACAGAAGCAATTGAAAGTGGACTCCAGTGGAAAGTGCGCCCTGGCGTGATTCAGTGGCCAAAGCCCAGCCCCACCCGCTCCAGCTCTTCCAGGATAGAGAGCTCTGGGCAAGGCTTGACCACTCCTTTGGAAAACAGAAGGCATTTGAGAATAGGTTAAGACATCTCAAGCATAATGTGTTTCTAACTGCTCATTCGTTATTGCGGTCACCTGTCAGTTGCACATACAGGAAATAAATGCACTTATTTGGAAAGGAGGGGGGCAGTTTTTATAGTCAAGTGTTTACGTATGGCATTCGGCATATATCACATTCGGCTACATAAGCTATCATAACATAGTTGTCCGTCGCCTGGGGAGGGTTTGGGACATGGAGGGCAGGGGGCTGGGAGTGCCCTGTCTTGCTAACATTTTGCTAACAGAAATTCCTGTTTGGTGAAGGAGGGCCCGTCATCTAAACAGAGTTTCTTCTTACATAAAGAAAAGGGAGGAAAAGGAAAATTCATCACACAGACCCTGGAGCTCCGGGCCCCTCCTGAGTTTCTTTGGCTACTCTGATGATCCTTCCTCCCTGCCTTACTTCTCCCCCTTGGCAGCCTGGTCTTCTGGGGCCTTCTCTGGAGGCCTGCTCTCTTTTTGGTCTGTGCTAGATGACTTTTCAGCCTTTTCCATCTTGGGTTGGCTGGGTGTGGGGGTTTCCTTGCTGGGCTCTTTTGACACGGTCTTGTCATCCTCCTTGGCTTTGGCCTCCGTTTTGGGTTTCTCCTCAGGCTTCTTGGCCTCTGTGGTCTTCTCCTCCTGGGTGTCTTTTTTCCCTGGTGCTGCTGGCATCTCTTCCTTCTTTGGCTTTTCCAGCTCCTTCTCTGCTGGCTTGCTGGGTTCTTTGACCTTGGCATCGTCTGGTTCCTTCTTGGCCACCTCAGTCTTCTCTTTAGGTTTAGCCTCTTCCTTCGCCTCCACTTTGGCAGGAGCCTCCTTCTCTGGGGTCACTGCCTTCTTCTTACCTTCAGCCTCTTCCTTCTTGGCTTCAACTTTGGTTTCTTTGGGCTTTTCTAAAGCAGGTTCCTTCTCCTCCACCTTGGGCTTTGGAGCCTCCTTGGGCACCTCATCTTTCTTGCTGTCCTTCTTGTCTTCAGTTTTTGGCGTGGCTGGAGCTTTCTCTTCCTCCATCTTCTTCGGGGGCTCTTTGGCTTTCACTTCCTGGGGCTTCTCCTCCTTCACGGGAGATGTGACCTTCTCTGGAGACTTGATCTCCTCCTTGACAGGACTTTTCACCTTTTCAGGGGATTTGCTGTCTGCAGGGGATCTTGCTTCCTCCTTCACTGGAGTCTTGGCTTCTGGGGACTTCACATCCAGAGCCTTGGTCTTCTCAGGGGGCTTTGCTTCCTCCTTCACTGGGGACTTGGCCTTGTCAGGGGACTTGGCCTCTTCCTTCACTGGGGACTTGG